AGGAAACAGTGGCCATCGATGGTGGTGGTGGTGGTGGTGGTGGTGATGGCGGTGGGTAGTATCGGTGACCGGCGCTAAATGCACACAGCACGATAACGTCGTAAAGCCAGAAGAGCTTTCAGTTCGAATGACAGCCCTTCGAGTGCACCGAGTCGCTCGGAAGCTCAAGGTTATTGACTGGCCACTCCATTTCAGTACGGTTCGCCGGCACATTCACAGCGAACGTACATACTCTCACTCTCTCTCTCTCTCTCTCTCTCTCTCTCAGTCTCTCCTCGTCGTGTTCGAGGATATTTCGAGGGTTCGGAAAAAGGATGAAAAGAGGGAATAGAGAGGGAACTCGAGAAACGTATGTATCTTTGCTCTTCGACGTGCTATGGCTATCGGAATCGCTCTGGTCCATCCATTTCGAACGAGCCACCCCGACGAGAACCGGATTGAAAGGGTGACTGAAAAACGAACTACTGGGAGGACAACATCATTAATCGTACTATACCAATAAATAAGACATTTTCGAGTAGAAGTAAACATACGTTTGAAACAACAAAAATATATAAACCAACGATGAATTAACCTAATCGTTTTTTTAACACAGAGGAAAAAAAATGATACAAAATAAAAAAAAGAAAATATGGGATTGTCGTGTTAAATTTTGTACGAATTAGAAGAATTAGGCGAAATAGCGGGAGTTAGCTAACGAATCGGCCCGTTGTCGATGACTCTTCCATTAATTATGTGGAAACCTTCGGCTAATGAATGGGTAGTTAGCGGGCAACGGTTGGAGCTCGTCAATAATTACCAGCCGAGGGTGCTGGTATGGTGACCCGGCTTTGATGCGCTAATTTACACCACCTGCACTAATGCCCTGTGTCGCACTAGCCCAGAACGACGACTGTGCGATTCCGCTATCGGGAGATACGCCTATCGAATGTACCGATGGATTAATATCCTTGTTCAATCGTTAATACGATTTTCGAAAGGATCGATTCGAATTAATACGCGTGAAGATCACGTCAACGTTTCGTTATCGTCATATCGCTAAACCTTCGATAGATAGATAGATAAATAGATCGATTCCTCATTGGGAGATATGGAAAAAAATATTTTTTTTAAATAAAAAAAGAAGAAAAAAAAGCATGAAAAATTAATAAATATTTCGTTATACACTCGTGAATTTTTTGTTGAACCACTTATAAATGAGAAGAACAAAAAAATAGAACCGATATTTTATTTATATCGATTATATTCTCGTTGCGTATTGTTCAAGAATTTATATTGATAATAAAATAAATAAATAAAAATAATTATATATATATATATGCGCGTGCATGCGTACGTGAGTGTACATATATCTACACACGTATAGATATAGTTACGATAAATGAAGTGTAAAAAATGTTGAACGTTTATCAAAGGAAGGGACAAAAAAAAACGCAAAATTTTTTCCATCGATTCGAAACCATTCGAGTAACGTCGAGGACAATCGACGAAATCGCGCAATGGGTCGTAACATTTTCGAAATTTAGTCGGAACACAAATTACAGGAAACATTCCGCGTGCTAACATGCTCGGGTGTTATGCTCGCTGGACTGTTATAAACACTCCGTGTAAACGTTCCCTCGTGGTAGTAACGCGCTTTGCTTGCTTTTTCTCTCTCTCTACTAGCGAACAACACGAATGTCCTCCCTCTCTACCTTTTCCGTTGTTAAATTGCGACAGAGGTAGAAACAATGACTAACTGTTGTCTACTCGCAATACTCTTCTCTTTTTTAAAAACGTAGACACCACGCAACTAAATTTTACATCATTTCGAATTCTTCTTATGAAAGAAAGAACACTAATTTACTTACGTTTTACGTTTGTAAAATATTCCTTAATTACATTTTTATACAATTGAAACATAATTGAAGACTAAACGAAGACATTTTTGAGATGAGAACTTAGAAGAAGAAAAATACATGTGTGCATATCACACAAGTTAGAAGTGAAATTTTCAAATAAACAAGTTTATTTATTAATTTATTATATAATATTATTGTAATATTATTTGTACTTTTTATTTGTAATTATTTATTTAATTATTAATTTTATTAATAATTACAAAGAAAGTAAATAATAAAACACATTAAAAAATGTTTGCAAATCAAATATTTTTATAAATAATGATATGTTTGTCTCTTTTTCTGTTTCTTTCTCCCACTACATCACTACGTTTCATTTTTTCAAATCACACCCATTCTAAAGAAGTTTTTACTTGAAAAAGAACAAAATTATAAATCTAAGATGATCTATGGCGTCAGAGCTAAAATAGCAGAGTTTCGTTATCGAATACTTGTGGTGGTGGTAGTAGTAGTAGTAGTAATAGTAGAGTAGCACCGACTGACGTCTGCCACGGCAAAAGGGGAAAGTTCGATATTGATCAGACAGTGGAATGCCTCCTGTTCGCGTCAGGCAGCACGATTTCTCATCGTACCTTTATACGGACTCGTTCGAACTTTGGTCCGGTAAGTTGAACGGCTCTGAAGGAGAGATAAAAAGATAGATACATAGAGGAAAAGAAGGAAAGAAAAGAAAAGAAAAGAAAAAAAAAACAGAGAGAAAGAAAGACGGACAAAGGGAAGAAGAGCCAGGCCAACGTTAAAAGGAAAGCAAAGAGGAAGAGAAAGAAAGAGATATCTCCTAAGGTAGCGATTGGAAAAAGGCAACTGCCAGTAGTCTGGCCCCTGTCAGGGTCAGACGATTTTGCAATACGAAAGAGAGAGAGAAAGAGAGAGAGAGAGAGAGAGAAAGTAAGCGTGGCCTTTCGACCGAGCCTCTCACGAACGAAGAAGCGGTAAATTCAATTTAGCAAGAGGAGTGAAAGAAGAATCGCGTGCGTGCATGGAAGGAGAAAAGCTCTTGAGCACCAGCACCAGCACCAGCACCAGCAGTAGCGCCAGCGCCAGCATGGATAACGGTAGACTAAAAATAAAAATAATCGAAATAAAAAGCAAAAAGAAAAGGTGAGAAAGAAAGAGAGAAAGAGAGAGAGAGAAGGATAGTGGTTACAGAGATTGTTTTTTTTTCTCTCAATCTCGACTTAATCGAAAGGTGCCGAGAAAGAGAGACGAGAGTCATCAAACACGCCGAGAGGAAGACGAATTTTCATCGTGGAAACATGCAAGCAGCAAAGGGAGAGCAAGTGGGATACGAGGGAGAGCTTTTCTTCGTGTCTGTCGGTTCTGTCTATTCGTCAAATGAAATACGACCTTTCCGAGACTCGTGGGCCTACATAAAACGCACATTACTCTTAAGTTTTTCTCCCAACGCCGATATACCTACTACGACACGGAAGTGTTCTAAGAAAAGGGCATCGCTCTAGGGCGTCTAGCGAATCCATTTCCATCGGACGCAGTGCGAACGTTTTTCTTCTTATTCTTCTTCTTCTTCTCCTTCTTCTTTACCATGAGGCAAGAAAAGATGAGTTTCTAGTTTTCATTCGTTACTCAAATAGTAATCTACTATATCTAATGTAAATACAAAGAAAAATAACAATGATTATTATTATTAACACTTTAATGGTCGCACGTCTATGCGACGAGTCAAACGTCGTTAGGGGCCCGGTAATATTTTTCCAGAATTAATTTAAAAAACATTTGCCTTGTCATTCACAAAAAAATTAATATCAAACAAAAAACAACAAATTTAATTTAATATAATTTTAAATATATATAAAAATCTCAAAACAATTGTTCCGATTATCACACACATGTTGCGTGAGCTGCCATTAAAGTGTTAATTGGCATTAAAAATTCGAAAGTTATCTATCGTTAACCATATAATTGGTTTTTACCACACTTATTTGTAATCCCAGTTCTTTTGTATTATATTCCGTTATTAATTAATGAATCTTTATTGTTCCCTAACAAAGCAATATCGTCCGTGTATGTCAATAGTCACGTTCGTTGTCCCGTTCAACTGCAGACCATCTTTACTTTTTTGCAATTCTTTGACAATGATTAAATAAAATTATGAAATATAATTATACTCTATATACAGGGGTATTATAAACCTATACCCCTATACCGAAAGGGTTGAAGTACGTCACATGTCGAGGGGTTTAGAAGGGGATGGGAACGTGCATGCGATTGTTTCGCTTTGCGGTGCCATTGTTTCGCCGTATATACGTTTGCCCGTGCGTTTCGAGACGAACGCAATGAGGACAAACCGCAACGAGCTGACACACGACTGCCTAAAAAAAAAAAAAAAAGAAAAATTCCACCCGCCAGTTGCATATTCATGGAAACGTCACGATATTCTCTATCTCTCCATCACTTCATCTCTCTCATTCCCTAACTGTGCAATCCACGTGGCGCAAGATTATGCATAAAACTACGATATTACTGCGGCTTTTGGATGTTTCAGAGACGCTTCTTCCCGTTCCAGTAATTTCCGAATTCATGGTAACATTTATATTGCGAGGAATGTCTACAGATTGGAGAATGACATTCCTTTTTTATCATAGATGCTTTTACTTTTTAATCCTTATAAAAATCGAATAATCGATCTACCGTTTATTTTAAACACTTCTATGTGTGCATTTTCTAATACTAGTATTTGATCGAATATTGACAAATTGAAATGAAATAATTATTAACTGTGGATAATATATTAGAAAGACCGAAATATAATCCAAATTTTTCTTTGCTGTCAAAAAACATTTATTTATTCAAGAAATTGTATATTTTGTCAATCATTTTCTAACACTTTTTGCCATACTTTGTTTAATTCCCTTTTTAAAAAGTCCTATCAATATTTCATTGACACAAACTAAATGTGAGTGTACTCATTTTGACTGTAAATAATAGATAGAAGAGAAAAATCATTTCTGCGATTATTAATTCGAAAAATATTCGTTTAGATTAAACATGCGTTTAAAATTGACCTACTAACCTATGATAACTGTAATCGTTAATGAGTTGAGATAAAAGAAAATGAATTTAAATTAGAATAAAACTCACCGAGAACGACAAGCTTGACCGGTCTCCCAGAAAGAAATTTTCCTCGATCGTACTCGAACGTGCATCCCCACGTTCCATCATCCTCCAATCTGACGTTATCTATGTGTAAAGCATCGGTAGTAGAATCACTGATGTATCTATGACCAGTTCCGCTCATTTCCGTTCTCGTGTCTATCGTGAGCATGTCCACCGGATTTCCTTCGTGAAGCCAAGCAGCTGGATTCCCATGTATTCTGTAACTTCTAAAAAAAAAAAAAAAAAAAACACGTGCGAAACGTGATATTTCACAATGGGAATTTTTCAATAATATTCACGTGCAAGTAATAATTTAAAAATTCAATACAAAATTTGATCGCGCTAGTCATCGAAGAAAATGAAAATGATAATGAAAAAACGTAAAAGAATTTTACCTTGATCCTGACAAAAGGAGCCTAGAATAATTCCCTTCGAGTTCGCAAGGCAATATAACCTTGGTATGTGGTTTGACGACGAGTTCCAAGGGTGGTCTAGTCGAGATGGTACTCTCGTCTAAGGAGGTGGACACACCGCTTGAAGAAAATGAAAACGTAGGATTGTTCGTCGTCGAGGAACTAACCGACCATGCCTCTTCTTCCGGAGCCAATAGTGCTGCAGGTTGCACAACGTCTTCTCCGAATGATATCAATGTAGACGACGATGTCGTCGTACTTTTCGTTGTACTAGTCGTCGTTGTAGTTGACGTTGTAGTCCTTCGTGCTCGTCGACCACTTTCCTGTCTTCCACCGCGAAACGCGTAAACAATTGCACCGTTTCCAGAACCTTTAAAACAAAACAAGACAACAAATTTGAACAAGTAATCTTAACATCATTTAATAAATAATAACAGTGACCCGTATCATCGTTCAAGTGCTTTTTATAAAAGAAACATTTGTGATAGTAGGGAAATTATGATGTCATTGATTAAAAGAACCAAGAATGAAAGATATATATATATATAGAGGATGGTAGAATGAAAACAAGCGAGAAGAGGTTCATTATAATTCGTGATCACACCACGAGCTTAATCGTAGTACTCCTATTTCCTTCCGGGCTCGTCTATTGTGCGGTCCATCGTGTTACCGCTTTTCAGGACGTACCAGCGAACTAAATTAGACCGCGAACGTCGTCGTTCCTCTTCTACCTCTCCCCCCCCCTCTCTCTCTCTCTCTCTCTCGTTCTTCTATCTGCTGGCATCCACCGGTAAATATTCTAAAGACTGGGACTTGATCGAGTTAGCAGGAGCCCGGAGAATTCGATAAAGCTACGACAAGAACGGCGAGACGACGCTTCTCTCCTATCCGGCATGCCACTCTCGGCATCTCCTTCCTTCTCACCCTTCTTTCCCCCTACTCTTAAAGCTACCTATCGTGCTTGGTCGACCGAGAGACTTCTCGAGGAAAACTAATTATTGTACCGATGAACGGCGAATAGCTGTAACTACCTAACACAACTAAGACCCACTGTCTTCTTCCTTTTTCCTTTTTTTCTTTTTTTTTTTTTTCTTTCCCCTTACAACTTTTTCCCTTTTTCTTCTTCTTCTTCTTCTTCTTCATCTTCTCCTTCTTCTTCTACCTACCAAGCTACCCTTTTTCCTTTCGACCCAATTCTCTTCGACTTAGGAACACCGCAATTACCTCTACCCTTCCTTACTCACCCCTCATGCACCAGACAACGCACCAACGCGCTAACACGACGCTTTCTAAGACTGAAAAACTCTTTTTTCGTATTCCACGAAGAAGCAGCTTCCGCTGTAATCACCAAAACGAATTTCCTCGAGCTTTCTTCCCTAAGAAGAAAGAAACCCGTGCGAACAATTTGCGATAACTTTCCGTGAAATCGCTGAGATTTTGATTTCTTGCTTCTACTTTTTAACGTAGATAAATCTAAAAGAATAATTAATGGAATTTTAAACGATAAAAGGTTATTACATATTAAATATGTAACTGTATATTTATACAATATTAGTAAGTACGTCATGTTTCTCGAAACAATCATTATAATTTAATATTATTTCATTTCATTTATTTAAAATACGTCAAAGTAAGTTATACTTATATAAAGCTTTCTTCTCTAAAAAAAAAAAATGTCGATGGAACGACTTGGTTAATTCGTTTTACTTTCAAATAACGAGATTCCATACCGACCTATAAAAGTTCTATCGAATCGTAACTACTTTCCGTTAGATTGCATCGAACTTCGATTGATTCTCGTTGTATGTACGACTTCGTGCTTTCGTACAAAAGGAAAATCTCCCTAGCGGAATAAATAAAATATATACATATATATATATATATATTTTATTCGAAGCAATATAAAAGCAGGAGGAAAATGGGTAATGTTGCTGGTACCGGAGCTTTCGTTGACACGATGAACGCGAAAATTCGAGTGGATCGATGCGACGCATCTCGAAGAACAAAGACGCGAAAAAAGAAAAAAGAGATAGGAGAGAGAAAAAAATAAATCGTAAAAGAAAAGGTCGAATATAATACGATAACGATACCATGGTATCGCCCACTAGTGAACAGTCAACCTTCATCAATGTTCTAGGTGATATTCTGGCTCGGTTATACAGACCCATCGAGTAGATGTTGTTCGACGTTGATGCATGCATTATTCAAGCGATGTATCCATTCATTATTCATGTCATGATCAATGGATGTCAACAGATTGCGATCTGTACCTGGATAGATCGATGTGACAGAAAGCGAAAGCAAGAGCCGATTGAATGAGTTCAAGGATGTTGGTAAAAATGAAAACACGAAGTACATTTGTTCTACGTGCATATTCTATGTGATATATATATATATGTATATGTATATGTGTGTGTGTGTGTGTGTGTGTATATTCACAGAGAGTAAAGATCGAAAATTTTCATCATCGAGCTATCACTACCTATGATAGGGTTGAGCTTGTTTCGATTCAACCTTCATTACTTCCCATTATTATTATTAGACGAATGTGAGGAGGGGTTTTTGGCATCATCTAGCGTTGTTAGTAAAATAATACGAACTTAACGAAGCAACCCTGCTAATTACGGAATCACATAGGGAACCTTTCACGCATGGAGCTATACAAATTTTTGTTCAACGCGTACCAACATAATTGTCTGTCAAAATTTAAATGTAAAAAGAAAGAGAGAGAGAGAGAGAGAGAGCGAGAGAAACTGTAATAATTTGAAAGAAATAAATTCGCCAGGAAATACGAGTTTGTTAGTCATACTTGTGTAAAAAAAAAAAAAAACGAAATGCGCCAACTTTTCAACATTTTCTTTTCATCTAACTTTATTACTAATTGTAAGTTGAAATAATAAGTGAGAAAAATTTGAAATTAGAAAATATCTAAAAAAGGATCTTCTTAAAAGGTAAGAAAAATTTGCAATTCTTCTCCCGTTGTATTCGTTTAGGATCGCCAATAACGATCGTGAATTCTCGTCTCGAAGACAACTTCTCAATTGTGAGTCCTAGCAACGAGAAGAAATCCATCCGTACTCTGAATTCAAATCGAAGCAAAGTCGTGTTAGAGGGTCGAACGAAAAGTTTCATCGAATGGCTTTACCAAATATCATGGCAAAGATGAACTTTTTCAAAAATGTAAAAAGAAAGAAATAAAGATGAAGAAAAGAGAAAATATGCGACGATATTCTTGCTTCGTACACACGTATAAAGCGATAAAGATCAGAGGATCGTGTTGTACCAGAGTGTGGTTACGAAGAAAGAAGAGGGCAAAGAAAGAAAGAAAGAAAGAAAGAAAAAAAAAATAAGAAAAAAGGAAAAAGTAAATAAACAGGAAAAAGGGAAGAAAAGTCAGAAGGAGAAGAGGGGGTTGAAGATGTCTGATGTATATCGTCGAGGGAACTTATCTCTGTCGCAAAATTCGTAGCACGAACGTCTTTGATGGCAATAGGAGTGATTCTCATCTAACCTATACCTTTTCCTAGGTTCTCTGCTTGTCCTATTTTCCCTCATCTTCGCTGGTTCGCTTTTGCCTTGTCCTTCCACACGACGACACTGTCTTTCTCTCTTTCTCTCTCTCACAAACGATTCTCTAATCCCCCTAGTTCTCTCTCTCTCTCTCTCTCTCTCTCTCTCTCACTCCATCCTATCTTTTACTACTATCCTTAACTTAGTGTCATCCTGTACTAAGCCCAATGTAATACCCTTTGGTATCTAGAACGGTTAGGAAGCACCTTTGGTTCCTTGCTCCAATCAAAGCGATGCTCATCGTTAAGCCGTATCGACGACCTATATCGCTGTGACAAAGGAGTCCTACGGCGAAATTAGGGGGAAAAGGGAGGAAGGTAGTTTCTTGCGCGTAACAACAGATTCGATATAGGGGGTAAACGGGAGCAGGTGCAGGTAAGCAGAAATCGTTAGAATCGATATAAACGATAACGATAATGGTTGTAGAGCGCGAACATCCGGAACAATCGCATATCCATTTGTTTTTAAACGTTTTGGGAAGCAGATATTATAAAAATATATCAAATTGCACGATTAGCTTTTTTTTTTATCTCTCTCTCACTCTCTCTCTCTCTCTCTCTCTCTTTATATCTTGGTGATTTTCGTTTTTCTATTGGTTGGGTTTTTTCGTTCATCAACGATCGAACCGGTCGACGATGTTTTTCCTCTCGGTGTTCCTTCCGCTCGAGAAATAGGAAAAAGTACTTGCAACATACCTCTCTCTCTCTCTCTCTCTCACTCTTCTTGGTCTACTGTACGCTCGGCAAAATGCTACTGGAGGTAAACGCATTTTTTTTTTACAGTCCAGTAATAACGCTCCGTTACGGGTCGCAAAAAAAAAATAAAAGTATTACTAAGTATTACTCTTTTACTTTTTAATAATCATAAAAACATTACGCCTGTAGGAATGCAACCCGCCAGACTCGCTTTGAAAATGCTGCATGCCAATGCCATCTATTGGGACGGAATTTATGTTTTTTTGCGCGAAAGATAGGTAACCCATAATACATGCGTGTATAAACAGTTTGGTCTGGAGGGTTGCATTCCAACAGGCGCAAATTTTTATATTATTATATAATTATTAAATATTAATTAAATAATTACAGATCTGTACAGATGTTCTTTTTTCTATGTACACAAAATAAAATAAAATTACCATTCGAAAAGCAAAGTTGGTAATTAGAAACTCGAAAATAATGATTGTATCCTACACTTACGCACATTACAAGCAATAACACTTTAGGCGAAATTTAGAAAGATTGTTCGAAGAAATTTCTTTTTTTTTCTTTTCTTTTTTTTTCCTATCGTACGTGTCTAAAGTTATAAAATAAAATACAATTTCAGTGTAATAATCGAGAAATTCGAGCACGTGCACGATCTCTTGGTAACGCGTCGCACGTAATCGTTATCCGAAACTACTCCCCATTCTAATTTCAATTGCCCCCGATCTTTGATATCAATTAACGTGGCACGCGTTTACCCTTTCTCTCTCTCTTTCCTTTAATAATAATAATAAGGATTTTAAATGAAGAAAGAAATTTTAATAATCGCCGAAATGGCTGTAGCTCTCATGCTTCGTCGGTTTCATTTTCTTCTCCTGCTTAATATCACGTCACGTTGTTCCCTTAATCACGATTAGATCGTACTTTACCTAAATATCACAAAAATAAAATCACGAAAAGTTCAGAGTTTCAGCAAATACCTTAAAAAAAAAAATCATTTCGAATTGGGTTGATTCTTTGAGAAGGGTTAAGCAGTGAAATGAATAATTAAATAACATAAAACCATCGGAGGATGAGCTTTTGACGGTATCAAGGAGGA